CCAGGAAGAGCGCCCGCACGTGCGCGCGCGCATGCACACACACACACACACACACACCCTCCAACTAGATGCTTCCTCAGCCTGCCAAAGGGTTTTAAAACCCAAAAGCTCGCAAAGAAGAATTTCTCCAACTATTCAGCTGGTCTAATAAAAGATATCAAGGGGCTATGTATGTGGCAGGACAGGTGCTAATGAGGGCAGCCATTTAATGTCCCGCTCTCAGAGCTGGAGGCGGCAGATTAGTTTCTCACCAGCCAGCAGGGGAAGAGCATCTCCCTGCTGAGCTCCCGTGCCAGGAAGAACTAGGAAGTTTCAAAGCTGGGGCTATATGGGGAGGAAGAGACCCCACATCATTCTGGGCTTAACCTAAAACTACACCCTGCCAGGGTTGGGAGACCTGATGGGACTGCCAGTGGCATGTCAGTCATGAAATGCCAGGATGGTGAACCTCCCTGGTAAAAGGCGGGTAGGAGCAGGAGGTACCTGATAACCTCAAGCCGCTGCGCAGTCCTGGCTGGGGAAAGCCCAGACCTGTAAGATCTTTGAGAGGGCTGAGGATTATTGGTTGTAGTGGAGTTGTGAGGGTGAGAACAGGGGCTACCATCCCTGCAGTTTTTACCCCGCTGCGCCTTACCACACAAAGTCACACGTCACAAGTTTGAGGTGCAGTTTCCCAGAAACCCCTGCACCTATCTCCTTGTAACCTGGTAGGCTTCATGGCCTCAACAGGGCCTAGAATCACTCCAAGTTTCATCCAAATCAGGTAAGAAATTACAGAGTTATGTGTAGCTTTGTAATTCCCCATTATAGCTTATGGCCGAAACACAGTAAAAATTCCAAAACAGCTCTGAAACAGTTTCAGCCGAAACAAAATAGGACAGTGATTCGAAACACCAAAATGAATCGTTGTCCCTCTGAAACACTGAATCCAAAACAAAACAAAACACAGCTGTTTCGGACAGCCTTACAAAACACCGAAATGAAACACCGTCCCTCCGAAATGCTGAACCCGAAACCAAAACAAACTGTAGGCGTTTTGCACAGCCCTACTAAATATGGGGTTCTATGCAGATCTGCATGTGGTGGGGATTTCACACCAAGGGCAAAATCCTGACATTACAGTAGTCAGTAGAAAAATCCCAGTGACTTCAGTAGGACTAGGTTTTCAACCCAGGTGCTTCTTATTTTGTCCATTCTGAATGAAGCTAAAGAGATCTTATTTACAGACAGCAAATGCTGCTGTAAACTACGTAATAGTGTGCAAAGTACAAAAACTTTTGTAGGGTAGAAAGGCACTGGTGGGTAGAAATAAGTAAGTTCCAGTACTGACTTAGCTCAGCCCCATTTATGGCTTTCTAGAAGTTGGAGGGGGTCTTTTTTTTTTTTTTTTGAGGTTGCAGCCCACTTGGAAAATATTATTCAATTACCTTAAACTAAAAAACATTCCATGGAGTTGTGGGAAATACCAGGTCTGAACTCCCTCAAAACTTTCTGCGACAAGATCTAGATCTTGGTTTGTAATCTGAGTCCATATCTAATAAAAAAGGAAATTGACAATTTGCAGCAATATGGGTAATGGAAACAGGCTGTTAGTTGAATTAATTTCTGAAATGAGCGTGACTCGAGGAAAGGTTGCAGTTTTTATTTTCATGCTCTGAGAAATGTGGTTAGTTGGCTAAGCAGAATGCACCCTTTACATATGACATTCTACTAGATGATCATATCAGGTACCGGAATCAGTTCTTCAGGCAACAAAACCCTAGTACACTTTTAGTGAATTAAGACGATGGAAAAAGAAGAGCATACGTCACATAGATGGGAATTGATGGTATCCATGCTTTGAGGACCTACACACAAAACAAAAGTTAGCATCAGAATATTTATCAAATTGATCATTGGTGAGTTAAAAACAAAACAAATCATTATTTAATGTTTGGTTCAGCTATAACATTGCAATATCAATTTCTTGAAACAAAATGGAGACCCAGTTTCCCTCTAAATGAAAAAGTGGTAACTCTGGGCATTGATGCTTTTTTAGGAGGGAGTGAGAGCTATACCTGGTCTTTGGAGAGTACTGAAGGTAGAATGAAAAAAAGACTTTTGGATTCTGAATAAGCCAAAAGTCATGATAGGGACACCTGCAGATGAAGCACAGAATTCTTAAATGGCTTTTTGCCTGAAGAGAGGTCTTGACATTTAAAGGCCATGTGTCTTCATAGGGATTTGTAATTTGCTCCTTTTATCCAGATAAATTAGGGTTTAGAGGATTAGAGTACAAGACTAGGAATCAGGGGAACTGCATAATCCTGAGCACTTTTGTGAAGTGCTAGATGTGCTCCATGTTCATCTTCATTAACTTTAGATAAAGACTGCTCAGCTGGCCACGGGGATTGTTAGACATAGTAGCACTGATAAACAAAACATACGCTTTCAGGAAGATTACATTTATATCATTATACTGTGATCTTGTTCCTACTACAGAACCACCTTGAAGCTTCAAGTCAGTTAATTGTAATACACCAATTGCTTAGGATAAGTAAGCGATGCAACGAAATACATATGCCATAAAAGAAATTGCTAGCAGTCTGAATGAGATAGCTGTTTAAACTAACTGCTGCTTACTGGTAGTGACTTTTAAGACATTCATACTCATACTACCTTGCAGGTGTCTATTCATGCAAGGTGGTATGTGCTACCTAAAACACAATATTTGCGGTCCCTGTTTACTAACACATAAAACAGAATATTTTCTAAATACTTACCTGGCTTTTGCAGGATGGTTTTGTAACTCCAAATTTTTGGGTAAGTTTATCAGTACTGAATTCCCTCCATTTCCCATTGATCAGGTAGTGTGCTTTTATTTCATATTTAACTTCACGCTCCTGTCTCAGGCTCACACAGTTACATTCAGCAGCAAGAAAAGATAAAACTGGGTCTGTGTGTTTTACTCTCTGGAAAGACATTGCAGATATTTCAGTCAATAACAGACAGTGTACAATGTGGCAGTGATATTTGCTTATAAAAGGAGAAAAAAAAAAAGGACACAACCATGCTAGCTGATCTAAACAACAGCTGACCAAGAATTGCTTGAATTCGAGCCCTCCAAGAACATCTGTCTCTAGGAATAGTACGGAATTTCATCACTGACTCAACAGGTTGTATGCCGTTCCCTAGTTCTGTACTGCACTGGTGACCATGTCCATGCTTGTGATAAACAAGATGAAATGCTTTGGGTGCTATACTCTTGGTCT